GTATCTTATTAATTCCAATTTTTGAAATTCTAATTGATTTAAATGTAGATTTTTTTTAAATGCACCTGTATATATTATAGTGCAAAGTATCTTATTAATTCCAATTTTTGAAATTCTAATTAAGTGTAGATTTTTTTTAAATGCACCTGTATATATTATCGTGCATAATTCTAACTCATTATCCTTTCAACTAAAGTCCTCTGATTGCCAAACTCAATTTATGAAAATAGACCAACCAACCAAGCTTCATGAACAGACCCGCCATCTGTGTTTTTTTTTGTTTGCAGAAGCCGCGCCTGGCTCATGCCCTGTGCGACTACGCCCCGCCACACACCGCCCACCTGCATTTCCTGCGCGGTGACCTTATCGACCTACTGGACTGCTCTGGCTCGCGCTGCTGGAGGGGCCGCTGCCGCGGGCGCGTCGGCGTCTTTCCGCCGCAGTACGTCCAGCCGCTGTACCACTGACAACATCATCTCGTGTCAGTCACAACAGAGCTGCATCACTGCCACTGAAACATGGCCTGATAAGGAATCAAACAATACAGTGGAACCTCTAACGTCAAAAGAATTTGGAAATCGACCAAAATTTCAACGTGGTATGTGTGTACCTTTTTTTTGTTTTGTTTTTGTTTATTTTGGAGCAACATTACAAGTAATTACAAATAACAAATAAACTTCCAGTTTTTGCAATGTGAACAGATTGCGGTCAAAATTTGGAGGTTCCACTATGTGGTGAAAATTTAAAGTTATCCAATCAAATCTTTTGCTTCCCTTCCTACTGGCTTTGGCTTTAAGAGTCATTCAGAATTCATCATTTGAATTTTATATGCTTGATGTTGGGCAGTTCGTCTCACTATAAGGTTTTTTTTTTTCAATTCACTTTCTGGAAGCTTTTGTTTTCATGCAATTGAAGTTAGCAGTATTTGCACATGCTTTAAACTTTTCAAATGATCTAATATGATGACCAAGTCGCAGACGTACTCTTTAATAGTTTAAATAGAATATATTTCAGTAAATATCCTGTATGTTGCAATGCGTGTTTTTCGTCCTGCCACCGTTTTATCAAGCTTCTACAAGAAATATGTATAAAGAATTGTATTTTACTACTGCTATTTTGATAGCTCTCACTCCCCTGTATACATCAGAGAATACAACATAAAATGATTCAAAAAAATGCATAATAGACCTAAAATTAAGAGTTCATCCCTTTGCGTTCAAAATGAGACCATCTCTTATAGTGCTTGTCCTGATTAGGATCTCAGGTGGTAGACTTCCTAACCACAACTCCACTGCCCTAAAATGAGAAAACCCAATTCAAATTTGCCACACATTTAATGTTTCCAGTTTCTTACTGTGTATCCAGAGTTAAATCGTTTCTCATAATCATAGTTGCCAAAACAACAAATAAAAATCATGGTTTGAGAGGAACACAAATTATCAATCAAATGACAAAAACAAAAAATTAAATTCAGAAAATGTCATTTTTAAAACATCAAAATGTTTTGAAGTTGCTAAAATTGATCATGCATTGGATCAATTTTTCCCCAAAGTTGAGACTGATTAACGCAAATAAAAGTTAACAGAAAAAAAAAAAAGGTTTGGGTGGTCATTTTTTCAGCATTAGGAAAACACTCTATAGCTACTCATCTACACTACTCACAAAAACTGACGGCTTTTGGCTAAAATTTCAGGTAGTACCAAAAGTTTACTATAACCTTTACACGTGAACTTAATTTGGTCTTCTGTAAACTGAAATATTTCAGCACTTTTTCCACAACTTTCAAAGGAAGATGTCCACTTCTGTGATGCTTCCAGTCCGCCAGTATCTTTGTTGCAACTTCCTGATGACTCTTGACAGGCTATCCACTGTGGTCACTTCCCTTTGAGAACATCCGTTTGCACCATTGATCAATTGGTCACATGAAATCAAAAATATCAAATGAACTCAAAATGTATCTGACCATTTATGGCTACACTACCTGTAGTGAATTTTAAACCGCAGCTTCTTTTCTGCAAAACGGCAAGTTGAGCAAAAAGTTCTGAAACATTAAACTTGGTCTGGAGAAAGCCAAATCCGTTTACCGATAAAAAGCTTCGATTAAATTTTAAGTTTATCGACCGTATCAATGTCACTTTGATGAGGACTTAAATACTTGAAGGCACCCGAAATATCGTGAACAAAAACAAAACCCCTCCCCCTCTCTGACAAGGGTGGGAGCCGCAGAGTTTGTGGTTCCTTGCCGGAAAGATTGCCTGGTGCTCAGCGAAATCGGGGCGAGGCAGGATGTGCGCTCAAGCTCAAGCTCAAGCGAAGTATGCGTAGAGAAAAATGTTCACGCCGACCAGTAGGAGAGCGTTTGCGCAGCAGAACCTCGACCAGAAGGCGCTCTCGCGGACGCTCGGAACTCGGGGAGTCTCCTGCAAGCGGCGAATTGCTGCGATGCACAGTCGGAGGCCGTGACCGCAAGTCATCTGACGTGCTGGCTCAGAGTCTGCAAGCGCGCACGCACACAAACACACGCGCAAGAGGAAGTTGCTCAATTACTGTGTCATCATTTGTGTGAATGTCTGTGATGGATGCTTTCCTTCCAGGGTACAGTGGAAGCATTTAACGGTGTACAATTAGTATTTATGGGAAGGGTACTAGTGTTGTCAAAGAGGGGAAAAAATATGCCGATAACGACAGAACAAGCGTGGAGCTTCACTGGCAAACTCGTTCAAATGTAGAATGGTACCTCTACTTACGAACGTCTCTTCATACGAAATTTTCAAGTTACGAAATGCCTCAACAGGAAAATATCGCCTCTTGTTCGGAAAGAATTTTAAAAGATACGAAAGGTAAAAATACAGTATGGTCTGCAAGTCGCAGCTACGAGTTTCCTGAACGCAACAATACTTATAGCTGCTCTGCCATTGGCTATTACCGAGCAACATCCTGGCATCTCATTGGCTAAGAGGGACTTCTACAGGATGTGTCTGTAGATAAATAGATACGTTTGTGTCTGTGCAGCGTCTTCGTCATGTTTTAGCATTAATCATGCAAATACGTTTGTACACAGTTGCAAACACTTTCGGATGTTTTAGCAAACTTCTACTAACAATGTTGCAAGTCAAAACGGTTTACTTCACACCGGCACCTCCATGCTTCCGTAAAAATTAAACTTATCGCAATGAAAATATTGTACAGTGCGGCAAGATTTAGTGCCCACCTTGAGAACTACGGTGACCAACAGAGGACATTTTCTGAAGAGGGATTTCTCTGGGAGACTCCTCTGTCAGAGTCCACCAGGTCAGGTTCTTTAACTGCAGATCAAAGCGGGGAAAGACTTAATAATGTAAACATTTATTCATCCATTTCCTGGTCATGCGTGTGAAGTGGGCCATGTCGAAGCAATTGTTTGATTTCTTTGGATTTGTTCCAATGTAAATACATACAAGCACTGTCAATAGCGAAGTGAAACATGAATACAGACAATAGCTTTTTGTGTCGTCTGTCATGAGTGCGTGATGTTTCGTGCCCCCGGCCCCTCCGCCCGCCGCACCCCGAAAAAAGCGGGGAAGCAGGAAAAGGAGAGTGAATCAAACCTAACACAAAGTCCTAAAAAAAAAAAAAAAAAAAAGAACTTAAAGTAACAACAAAACACTCCACTGTGACAAACAAAACAAGGTGACAGGCTAGAAACAAACAAAAAAATAACAGCATGACAGAAACACAAAACAACATGACGGAACTAAATACAAGGAAACTGACGAGACAACAAGGAACACCTGGACAGGACAGGTCCACAAAGGGTGGAAAGAGCTGATTGGTTGACACGAGGGCCCCAGGTGGCACACCTGAAAACAAAACCCAACGAGGAAAACAAAAGCACAGGAGGAAACAAAATGACGAAACAAAACCAAATGTCATCTTAACAAAAACAGAATCATGACATTCCAAATTCAAATCACAATGAGTCAGGATTGCATTGTACACAGTAGCTTTTTTTGTTGCATTGCTGTAAGTGTGACCTACTTTTTCTAAACCAGGGATAGGCAACTTTAGTCCTTCAAAGCCGCCATCCTGCTTGTTTTCGATGAGTTGTTCTTTTGAATCAGTTGTTCTTGGAAGAGGGAAACTTTGAAAACAAGCAGAATTGCGGCTCTCTACGTCCGGACTGACCTACCCCCGTTCTTGACAGAACCAGCATCTTCTCTATATTTGTAAATACACGACAGAGCTGATATTTGAATTATTGATCTATATTTTCAGAGCAAAATATGCCACTTGCTACTGAAGCAGATCTAGTTATCACCTTCGAGTAGTACCGGTATGGTCACAACAAATAGTCAAGTCAAATTTTCCCAAAATGTTTTTTTTTTTAAATCAAAAGATTTTTTTAAATTTCATTTTGTAATGTTTGAATAAAATACAAGAATTCAGCAAAGGACTGCTAAACTGGTTGCTCACCACTTAAAAAACTCGCCAGAGTGTCGGAAAAGTCACTAAATACTTAAGTGACTCCCATAAATATGCTAGCTCCGCCCCCGGTGGTCATGGTAACAAGAGTCGTGCTCGGCATTCGTATGACACGGAACCGACCACCACAAAAGTGTGACTGAAACCAGAATGTAACAATTGGATGTTAGGTGTGCTGTCTTTTTTTTTTTTTTTTTGGGGGGGGGGGGGGGGATTTTGCCAGCTTAATGGCAAAAAAAGGTTTTGAGTTATTCATCTGAAAACTGCTTTAACCCTTTCATGCAACCTGTAACCTGATAACATGATCAACTGTCCACTGTAGTAACCGCTGTCCCTGAAAGGGTTAAATCGTGAAAATGTGCATTTTCAAGCCACTCTTAATACGAATTGAAGCGGGGACGACGCACCGTCAGCGAGGCGCAAATACCGCACACGAGTCTGAATCGTAATATTACCACATACCCAGACGCCCGCACAACACAAGAGGCATCGTGGCTGAAATCATAGACCACTAAAAACCATATCGGGGAGGGCCAACATGTCATCATGTTATTTTAGGGTCCGATTTCTATAGCTTGTTGCTTGAGGGCAAAGACTGAGAGCAAAACCGGAGATTACCATTTGAATTGCGTTGCAGCTCTCAAGCCTGGCCCGACAGCTTTTTGGCTCGTGACCGAAAGAATGTATTTGCTGTGGCCAAGGGAGTTGGGAGCCGCTCTGGGCTGTTTCATGAATAAAAATGATTGTGAATACCAACTTGTTTTTGCTTTGGCTAACACAGTAGAAGCAAATATACTGTAAGATCCAGACCGAGGACTCTTGCTAAAGCACATGATAAAAGGTACTTTTGTATACTCGTACAGGCTCCTTAATTCAGTGGTTGCAGCTGTTTAGTACAGAGTTGTTTTGAAACGGTCGTATTCAGTAACACATTTAAAACCTTTGACATGTGTTCGAAGCAAGCGGCGTCAGCTTGAAGGAAGAGTCATTCAGTGATTCATGATCACATGCTGAACAGAGTCAAGTCAGCAGATCGCAGGCATTCATGAGGTGACAAAAGCTGAAGAGTTGCGTGTGTCACTGTCGGCCGCGCAACAAAAGTGCTACTGTGCTGAGAAGCAGTTTGCAGACATCATTGTTGATCTTTGGATTGAGTTATCAACGGATCCACGACACAACATCCAACCATGCAAACGAGTTGCACGCACCAAACATCTTCTGACTTCTCAGTGCGCGTCCGTACGTACCTGCTCGCGGCCCGGCGGCGGTGTCAACAGCGACACCACAATGACCACCACGGCGGTGAGCCCGCAGAGCAAGATGGCAAAGTGGAGGTAGTGGACGCGGCGCAGAACCGCAGGAGCCAAATCCACTATGCCGCACCTGGCAGGGGGGAAGGCAAACTCCAGCACCATCCTGCATACCCCCACCACCAAACCCACCATAAGGCCCCAGAATGCACCCTGACAAGACAAAAACAGACAGATTCAGGCTCCGTTGCTTTGTTCATCTTCATGTGCGGTAATTGCAAGACACTGGCAGCAGATTTTGACCCAAATGTGCCAAAATCGATCTGGATTTGGTTAGATTGGCCAGTAGTGGCTTTGCTCATCTGCCATTCATTTGCTTTTCTACTCCAGTTTGTGCGCGACTTGAATGAGGACGAAAGCGATAAAAGAGTGATGGACGTCTCCTTTAAAGTTGAAGTCCAAATTTTTCTCATCAATAAGATATTGTACGAGCCCCCACTAGTCAAAACACAGCATTCTGATTAATATTACGTTTGTGGAATATGAGTTAGGCAACTAAATCTACCTGTTTTTCGCCTTCTCGGGGGAGGTGGGCGGCCATTTTGCCACTTGTTGTCGACTATAAATGACATCACGGTTGCTCAGGGCGACCAATCATGTGTGAATTGAAAAGTGTTCGTTTTTGGAGCCGAAATAAGACATTAAAAATTACAAATGGCTTGACTTCAGAGGTTCAATTGCAAAAATGAGATATGTGCCGCGAAGTTTGGAGCATGCAGATGTACAATGACATTTCAAAAAGTGGACAACGTGCGAGGAGAAGTAGTGGGTCACACTTAGGGTGTGTGTGTTTGTTTTTCCACACAGAGCTCTTACTTTCTCACCCTGCAACTCCTGTCAGCATTGTTCTACTTCTCACCTACGTTTTCACACGTGCAGTGACACCATAGTCACTTGCCTTTCTTAAGCTTGCAAAGAATGCCATCAGTGTGGTTTGAATCAGATACGCTGCCCAGAAAAAAAATAATAATAATAATTCAAAGTCAAGAAGATCACCTGTTTGGCTGAAGGAAAGAAAAACACGTTTTCACTTTTTAAACTGAACGCCGAATGTTGTAAGGTGAGTAAGTAAAATCAAATACATACCGCTCATGAGCTGTCCACTCAGACATAAACATGAGTCGCACGCACCCTTACGACCTCAAGAGAGCTGATGCAAAAGCTGAGCATAATCAAATCAAGGCAGTCAACTTAGACAATCTAATTTTAATGTAAGAATATTCATCTCCGTCCATACACTTTAAGATATAATGTATATGTGTATCCTTGTTGCATGTGTTTCAGTACAGTACTCCGTTTCAACTGCCATTCTTTTTTTTTTTTTGAGTACTCGATGATTTAAGTGACGGTGTCACATTTCCATTCATACAACATTACACAAACAACTGGCAGGTCTTATTTACTCTTGAGTGTGCTACAGAGCATGTGACACTGCTTATTTTTCTCTCACGTCTGACCTTTGACCGCCAGTAGCTAAAGCCACCCTCATCTCCCACAAAAAAAAAAAAAACGGTCTGTTTCTTGCAAAAGAGTTATGGGCTTAGCTCGAAAGTGATGCACATAAGCATTCTTTGACTTTTTTTTTGCCCTACTTTCCTTTGTATGTGCTCTTTTGTGACAGAGAGGAACAGACTAACATGGGGAGTCAAGGAGAAAAGAGGAAATCAGTCTTGTCAGCAAAAAAAAAATAAAAGACACACCCTCAAGTCGCTTTACAAAAACATCAAGTGACTCTCGAGCCCAAGTCGGGACGGGTCTTTACTAGCGTTTACAGTATACTTCTCCATGTGTACGATAACTCTTTTAGCTTTTCTGTCCCATGCACCCTACGATCTTTTTTTTTTTTTTCTTTAATCTCACGGCAATAAAATTCCTCTTGCACGCCGACTCTGTTATCAGACGTGCACAGTCACTTTCATTTGTTTGCACGGGAGACTGCGTTAAATTAGCCCTTGACAATTCCGACACCAGGAATGAAAACAATATGCTCGAGGTTCCAGGAATGTTGGCGCTCGGCTGTATCCCATATGAGGCTAATAAAAGTGCAGGAAGGGAACACTCCAGAATGCTCGGCAAAGAAGTCCGGTTTAGATAGGGATGAAGTTTGTAATCAACTTTGATATGATTGCCATTTAAGAGCACGTTATGCAATTGTGTGTGTGTTCCTTGGCGCTTAACACCTCCAGTGGTAAGTTACAGCAAGTTGTTTGCTATTATTCTTTATTTTGTTTCTCTAAAATTCTCATAAGCTTTTAAAATCATTAGCCGCAATATGCGCAATTACCTAAATTGAAAAAAAAAAAGCACCTTCTCGACGCCCATCCCATCTGCCTTCACGATTCACATATTCTTTGCAGGCAACCGATACAAAAATGTGACAAAACTATCAACATTATCCAGATTTGTGCAAAGATTTAAAGGGTTGTTCCTCGGTTAATAATCTGGCTTTGCATAAGCTTTATAAATATCAACACTGAGTCATGTTAAGTAACGTATAACAAATAACAATAGAAATATACAAAACTGTCAGCAATCCCCACAAACTAATTGTACCCTCTGACATCTAGTGAAAGTGAATTTTAAATGTCCTTCTTGGCACTGCATGTCGCAGGCAAAGATAGACAAATATTTGTAGTAAATAAATATTTCTTGGGGCTAATTAAGTGAAATGGAATAATTTCCCACAGGCCACGGCACAGTGGGTGGGAATCACAAAGTCAAGGACAAAACCGTTGCTGTCACCTGCTCGTTGGTTCTCTTCCAGAAGACAGCCAGGGTGAAGACGGCCGTGACGGGCGGCGCCAGGTAGCTGGTCACCGACTGAATGTAAACGTACAGCTGGCCACTGTTGGCGGACTGCAAAATGGGGATCCACACCACGCTCACCACCACTAAGATCACCGTCACGATCCTGAGCCAAAAACACAGTGGTGTGATTATCCATCCATCCATCCATCCATCCATTTTCCGAACCGCTTTATCCTCACAAGGGTCGTGTGGGGTGCTGGAGCCTCTCCCAGCCGTCTTCGGGCAGTAGGCGGGGGACACCCTGAACTGGTTGCCAGCCAATCGCAGGGCACGCAGAGACGAACAACCACCCGCGCTCAAACTCACACCTCGGGACAATTTGGAGTGTTCAATCAGCCTCCCATGCATGTTTTTGAAATGTGGGAGGAAACTGGAGTACCTGGAGAAAACCCACGCATGCCCAGGGAGGACATGCCAGGAAGGCCGGAGCCGGGATCGAACCCACGATCTCTGCACTGTGAGGTCGACGTGCTAACCACTAGGCCACCGGGCCGCCTAGACCTTAAGTATGCCGTGACCAGGTTTCGAACTAGGATTGTTGCAACCACAACACGGTACTAGCCACTACACGATCATTTGTTTCTTCCCTATTGTGGACACTTGGGAGTTCCAAATCGTTTCATACCTGCCGACCAGAAGCAATTCTCTCTCGGAGGCTCGGGGCCGGTGCTTCTTCCAGATGTCCATGGTGAACAGTGTGGAGCTGCTGTTGAAGATGGAGGTCAGTGATGACATCAGAGCGGCCATCATCACGGATATCATGAGCCCACGCAGGCCTGTCCCAAAAGACACGCGAACGAGTTGAAACTTTTAAATTAAGGCACAAAGCCAAATGCTCCCTCTGCAGTTGGACGTGTTCTCACCGCTTGGCATGAGCTCAATGACGAGTTTGGGGAAGGCGATGTTGGAGCATCCCACCTCAGCTCCACACACCCGCACACATTCCTCGGGGTCCACGCATCCCACCGTGTCTGAAACATGAGGTGGTCCACCATCCAGAGGTCAGTTACACACAAAGAGATGGACACGGTAACCAAATATTCTTCTCATTCACAATTCATGTGCTTTTGCTCTCATTTCTTCTCTTGTGGGGGTGGGGGGGGGGGGCTTCTCAAAATGTCAGTCGACGGTCCTTAACATGAAGATAAGGTAGTTTCATTTATATAGTGCATTTCATCCAGAAGGTAACTCAATGTGCTTCACATAATTCAAAGTACAACATTTAAAAGCATTTTCAAACGCAAGTGTAGTGTAGTGAACACATTAAGAAGCGAAGTAAAACAAAAAAGAAGGAAAATAAAAGTTACTAAAATTACTAAAAGAACATACATTTTGTTTCAGAGAACATGACTTTATAAATGTTTTTGAAATACGTCATTCATAAGTAAAGGAAAAAGATAATAGTTTTTATCCTTGATTTAAAAATATTAAAAGTCGCTCCCATAAAGTGCTGCTGCCATTATATTCAATGTGAAACTGTTTTGTGTCTGAGCACACAAATGAGTTGTGACATTTGTTAACACAAGCACTTTTTATTTCCTGTTTTCATTATTTGTGGGTTGGTCTGTTTCTGTGAAACTGCGGGTCGGGTTGGCTCCAGGAAGACCCAAAGCCGAAGACAGTTTGTCTTTGTACATAGAATGACACAACATTCTCATGTGTTTACCTGAAAATATTGCATGGATCTCACTGAAAAAATCTGAGGCATTTGCAAGTGAGTGTTTATGAAGGTGTGGCAATCAAATTTAGCATTGTCTATCTATGTAACACATCATAGTAATGGTTAACTCTGAAACCTAATTACAACTACCAGTAACTGAATAATTAAAAAAAAAAACAAAAAAAAAACTTGAAGCAAAACAAAAACTGTCATGAAAAATGCAAAAATTAAATAACCGAGGCACCAAATGAGCATAAATGGAGAATGGATAGAAGGCTAATCTGCTAAAGGCAGACACTGGAAATTATTGAATGTTCAAAGCAAGTAACCCTGAACATGGCATTTGATCCAGTATTTTATTATGACTACTACTATGAAATGTAAACTCTGTTGGCTTTTCACTGATAACATACCGGGAGTATACTGTGAGCATTACAGTATGTTACATCATTTACCCTCCGGTCAGATAAGCTTTGCTTTACCCTAATAGGTCATTGCCTCAAAACCACCACGTGTAACACTTGTTCCTTGGAAGCTTTTTTTATTTGTATTTTTTTTTTAACAGTCATATTTATTCTAGATTAGCCACTCCATTTTGTACAAGGCACAAACTCGATGGCTGCAAAAAAAGTTTATATCCCCCCCTTCTTAGAAAGAGGGTGGAGTTTGTGCTCCGTGGACAACCGGACACTCCGCCCCTCAGTCCCCCGGTATCCAGGCTTCCGTTGCCGGATTCCAGGTTCTCACGTACCGGCACCTCCACGCTCTCTCGCCACGGACGTCGAAGAATTTATTGTACATTGGCGCAAACTGGATTAACATTTTGTTTTCTTTGCAGATAAAGTTTTGTAAGTGCCACGTAGACAGTCAAAATTCCTCGACTTTTTTTTGTCTTTCGTGGAGTTCAACCGTTTCAGTCTTTAAGCCGTTCGGGAGCCGTCACCCTCGGCTGGGCCCCCGGAGCAAACAAAAAGTATCTCGTCAGACTGAGTCACTCGATTTCTTTCAACTCTTGAATGCGAAGGTGGGGATTAATGATTTTTTTTTTTTCGTGTTCCGCTCTAACTTGACTCACTGGCTGACAGCAAATACAGTCATCCGCCAGACAGCTGCCCGCCTCCCGTCCTGCCTCCCCCATGTTCGCCGGTCCCCGGTGAACTGTGCTGCCGGTCTCGTGTCGACCCCCCTTCTGCAGGTGTAAAGGCGTGGCTGTAGGCGGGGGAAGCTTTGTTCTTACAACACCTTGAGTTTGTTTGAGAGAAAGTAGACATTTGTGTTTGTATAGTTCCTATTTCTTGGACTTTTAATTCCCCCTCAAATGAGAAGTTCCACTGGAGGAATACTGGTCATGCTTATCTCTTCCCTGTGTGATGAACGACAGAACCGGAATGAAAGCAGGGTAGATTGTGAAATTTCTACGAACCGCCGAGTGGGAACGAGTGTTATTTTCTGAAGTATTTCTTAGCGAGTGGATTCATCGAGGTCATGGCGTTGTCTCAAATCCAATGTCTGGACGACCACCACGTCAACTGGCGTGTTTGCGAGAGCAAACCGGAGTTCTTCTACAGTGAGGACCAGCGGCTAGCCCTGGAGAAGCTCATCACCCAGGGACAGGGTGCTTTCACGGACTACCTCCGCGAGAACGAAGTCCGGGACTTCCTCTCCGAAACCGAGCTGGAACGGATCGCCCGCACGGCCGAGCTTTACCGGCCCGGACAAGAGCACCACCAGAAACCGGAGACCCCCGGGGGCCACGCTGGGAACACGACCCCGGGGTCCGGGGAAGATGGAGCTTTGGACGGCCAGGTGTCCCTCCAATACTGGCCCGACAGGTCCGAGGCCTCGGTGGCAGAGCTGGACCTCGGTTGGCCCGAAGCCATCTCGTATCGTGGGGTGACGCGCGTGACTGTTTACACGCAGCCCCCCACTAACGGTCAAGCGCACATCAAGGAGGTCGTGCGCAAGAGCATCGCTTCAGCCCAAAAGGTAGCCATGAATTCACCAGTGGCGGGAAAGTAACTTTAGTACAGTTTGACATCTGCACTCGAAATATTAATTGTCTAACAATATTTAACTTGTACTCTCTACTAGGGCTACGACTAATTATTATTTCAATAATTTATACAGATTAGTAACACCCCTCAAAGAGATGCAGTGTGCTTCCACACCACTGCAAAGTAGAAACACCATCGTGAACGTTTGCTTTGTGAAAGCGCATTAGACCATGCGAGTGGATTTACATTGTAGTTGATGAGTGTATCCAGGAATGGCCCTACACTGGGAATAGGGGGGCTATAGCCCCGTCAGAAATCTGTAAACCTCTGTTAAATCCTTTACCTGACAATCCAATATTCATTTACAAATAGTTTTTTTATGCCCACCTATGTATCGTCATTTAGCCCCGGGACAGAAAAAAAAATCCTAGCAACGTAACTGAGTGTATGTACTTAGCAATTTAAATTTCCCGACTTCATCTCCTAACTTTCTATTTTTGGTGTTGGGAGGAAGTTGCAGGCCTTATCGGGCATTCAGGATTAAGCCCCGCACCAACTTGTTGTGAGATGTCGCAAAAAATTCAACTCATTTTAATTGCTTTTCACATCCTGACTTGTATGGTTAAGTTGTTGCCATCCACTTATTGGATGGTTAAACCTCTGATAGGAGTTACGTAAGGCATTATTTATCGCTGAGGTTGGGCTACCTCAGTAGTTTTCTCCATTATCAGTGTTGAGGGTTGGCTATAAATTTTTAAAACGTGAGCAATCCCACATGGCGAGGGGAAAAGAAATCACCAGGTGTGTCTCACTGCATTTAGAGATGATTAACCGCCCACCACATACGTCATGTTGTCTACAGCATGTGTAGTAGTACCATTAAAGACCTGTGAAGGGCAGCACTGTGCCGTAAATCACAGAAGAAGAAGTCAAAGAAAGTAAGGTCGCGAGGCCATTTCCTAATTGGCTATTGTTTCGTTTTCCATCACAATTCCAAAGTTCATTCAGTGTCGAGCACACACGGACTGATCATTTTCCGAGCAACTAGATGAAAAAAAAAAAATCGCCCCACATCCCACACCACAGGATCACTTTAGACAGTAGAAAATCTGACTTTTGCGGAGTTTCATCTCAAGGGAGGAAGAAATCACAAAACATGGCCCGACTGATGGAATGTGTTTACCCCAATTTAATCTTCCTCCGTCATTTTAAAAAAAATGGTTTTGGGATGAGGAAATTGCTCGTGCTCAGGCTTTAAATCTAGCACCAACGTTTGAAAGTTAGAAATCACAGAGAGTATTTTCCAAAGCGATTGTACAAACATTTCACGTTTTTAATCGTTTTTCACATCCGATTGGCATTTTTAACTAGTGTCCATTTTCTTACTGGGTTGTCAAACCGCAAATGGGCGTCAAGAGGTTTTACAGATGAGATTAGACATCCTCAGCATTTTTCTACAGTCTCAGTGCGGAGCGCCGCAGCGGTGTCTTGGCTTAAGTAACTAGGTCATCGTGCCTTTGTCATATGCCGAGCAGGATTGATGATCTGAAGGTGTTCTCGCACACGTGTCGCTTTGGCACATGCACTCGCGTGCCAGAGCATTCACAAAACAATCCTGACTAGTGTGTTTGTTGAGTGTGCTTATTAAAAGTAACAAAAAAACAAAAGCAACATGACATCATGAAATTACATGATAGAGGCCTTGAAAGGGAATGCCACCTTACTAGGTCAGAGTTGGGGCTCGGAATAACACAGGAAGCTTGTTCTTCTAATTAAGGGGAGTTTTTAACCGCTGGAATGCTGACTTCAGTGCACAAAGTAGAAACTGAACTTCTCAAAAACGCCGTTTATTTATCCATGTATGCACTTATTACAAACTCTTATCTCTGTATCTTTCAAAATGTTTATTTTTGTTTGCCGTTTTTTTGTTGTTTTTTTTTAAACTCTGTGGCAGCGTATGCCAACCCTTCCCTGCCATTTCTGAAGTAACTGACATTACAATTTATGAATGTTTTTAGATGTACACAAGAATCTTTTCACTGATCCGAAATAACTTCTTGAAGCGGCTTTCACAGTCTGTAGAACGAAAAAGGACTTAAGGGGAGGTCTCGCAGATTCAGAATAATAAAGGCGATATAGATTTTCCTATTTACCAAGTCAACTTCAGCAATGTTTCATGGCAAAATTAAGTTTTAGTTCCAGTGAGAAGACATTCTGTAACAAGGATGGAATTTCAAAGGATTTGCACCCAATCTTAAACTTCTTTAAAAAAAAAAAGTCACGATTGTAATGGCCGATCCACTGAGATATGTTCGAAAATGCTTGTAGAATACTCAGTATACGTCTCTGTAATTTATATTCGGTCCAACGTGTGTGTGTCTGTGCGCAGGTGATAGCCGTGGTGATGGACGCCTTCACCGACGTGGACATATTTCGAGACCTGCTGGATGCCGCCTACAGACGGAAAGTTCCTGTCTACATAATTATCGACATGGCAGCAGTACCCTCTTTTCTTTCCATGTGTGGTCGAGCTGATATGCATCGCGGACACCTAAAGGTACACCCGCACGCTTATCGACACACACAGGACGTTTTGACACGTGTGGATAGATGATGTTTTGATAACCTGAGAGAAGCGCTGTTGGAACAGATGGCTCCTTTTGATAACTATATTTTCCGGTCAGCTGGTCGATTTATTGATACATTCAAGTTTATGTGTCTGGACAAGTTTTTAAAATCTATTTTTACCACGCAGCGCTAGCGATACACTTCTTACACTATCAACGTGGCTATCGAAAGACTTGGAATGTCATGATATCCAAAAGTCACAATACAATAATTATCACAATATTGTGGGAGGTTAGCGATGTAAAAAGAAGCTCACAATACTGTATGATCACTTATTATATTGTAAAAACAAAGCTCGTGGAGATGATGCAATAAATTAAAAAAGCATAATACTGTATTGTGTTTTTGTACATAATAGCAGCAGTGAAAAAATAGGCTTGGCAGGTTTATTTGTCATGTGTTCCTATTGGCTGAGCAGACCAAAGTCTCGCGGTCTATGTAGTTCACAATGCTATGTTTGGCTGAAGCCGGCGAATAGTAATGTGTTTTTTGTGCTTTGGATATCGTAACATGACAGCGACAATATCATGGCAATTTTAATATCGCGACATCACCGTAATCATGACATCCCGACAGAATGGAGCTAGTTTACAAAGGCACAGCCGGCGTTGCCAAATTAGCAGTGTTGTAGCTATATTTAGGGACTGTTACTGGAAGTTAATTTCTGTGTGTGTGTGGGGGCGGGTGGACCTACTGGAAGAAAAAACTTTTGTTTGGTTTCGGGGGAAATAAAGAAAATGATGAAAGGGGAAAAACCCCAAAGGGCAAATCTCATTTTGAGTAGTGTTGTTTGTTTTTGTTTCTTTGTTTCTATAACCAAAGAGACAGGACAGGGGTGAGAGAGCGCAATTAAAATCTGAATTTGGGTGAACAAAAAATGTATTTTATTTTGGGGGTTGTATCCGCCACCTAGTACGATTCAATTTGGAAATGTTGAAAAGCACCAGATGCTGTCGACCAAACCGATACATGTTCTCACTTGAAGGATGTGATGAGGTCAACAAGCAGCAGCTCGTCAGTCGCTATAGGCTACATTTCTTCGTGATTCATTGCCTCTCCAAGTGAAACTGGTTGGGCCAGTAACAGAAAACACCTCAATGAAGCTTTTGCAAATATGGCAGACTGCAGACAATACCTTCTAAGCCCACACTGGAAACATTACTTTCCTCCTCTCTTTCAACCTTGCCGTCTTATCTGTCATTTTCACCCTTTATAACTATTTTTGCCACCTGTGAGATTTCACCCACAATATTGACCCATGAGGTAACTTAGCGGCTCGCGCCACACCCCTTGATCACAGGGCAGAAGACAAACATAACAGGGTGTGTCACACATGCACACAGATAACCTGTAGCATCTGTAAACACAACACAGGTGTCAATGAAAAGTCCGCCTAGCTTAGGCCACACACGCAAAAAAGAAGAAAAAAAGTTTCAAAATCTTTTGTGTCCTCAGTAGAACATCTCTCACGTGAACTATTTTTGTGTGCTTGTGTTTAGAATCTTCGCGTGCGCTGCTGTGGAGGCGTGGAGTTCTTCACACGCTCAGCACAGAAGGTTCGTGGGTCTCTGAGCCAGAGGTTCCTCCTGGTAGATGGAGACAGAGCCATCTCTGGTTCATACAGGTGAGCTTGACATAAGACTATATTGGGGGAAAACAAGTAAAGGAATGTGTTTCCTAATCAATACATATCAATCAATCAGCTCCTCTTTTTTTTGGGGGGGTCATTCCAGCTTCACGTGGGCCTCGTCCCGCTTGGACCGTAACCTCATCACGGTGATCACAGGACAGGCAATGGAGACCTTTGACTTCCAGTTTCGGGAACTCTTCCTCTTGTCACGGAGTGTGTCCCTCAGCAAGGTTCCCATGGTCGACGAACCCATTCCCGACCCGCTCCCTCAGGCCGCCCCTGTTGTCGTGCCAGCTAGCGTTGCTAAGAAGCTCATCAACCCCAAGTATGCATTGGTTGCTACGGGAACGCACACAAGTCCCACTTCTTCAGACCAGAACTCCAGCAACAAGAACTCTCAGGTCCCAGCTGGGTTAAAAATTCGTAAGGGGCGTCTTAAGGATGTTTCCGAGGAGCCTCAGATCCATCCGGCATTGGTCAATATGGAGAAAGCCTACCTGATACCATACCTCCCTACCTGGCCGGAACCGGACCCGCCGAGTGACGTGATAGGTTTTATCAACATCAGGGACGAGAAACGAGCCAATCAGGTTCACTTGCAGAGGTCCGAGCGCTTTGCGGTCAGTCAGGCCATTCGGTTCAGCTCATCTCTGACCCTGCCAAATCCTACCGAGGAGTCCGGTAAGGACACGAAAGATGACGCGCAACCTGCAAGTGGCAATACATCGGCTCCTAAAGGTCCGCAGCAGGAAGTCGCACCTCCATATAAAGACAATGCTGATGCAGCAGATTCCAGAGCGCCCCCGCAGCAGCAGCCCGACTCAGTTCTCGCACAGGAGACACAACAAACTCCCTCTGCGGCGCCTCAGCCGTCGGCCACCTCTGGAGAAACTCCAGAGACGCCAGCTGTAGTCCCTCCTGTCCCCAAACGGCGAACATTACACCTGGTCATAGATCCAACCCCCTCGGACCAGCCCATCGAAACGCAGGTCACCCTGGTTAAAATCGACAACATGGAGATGACCTCCAACAATAACAACGCCCCGCCTGGCCTTGGCCACGTCACCTCCAAGGAGGAGGGCGGCGACTCCGGCAGCAATGACAACGGCAGCCAGGACAGCACCAAGGTCATGTGCGACCGAGCAGGCGCCGACGTCCCGTCCAGCGCTTCCACGGCGTCCGAGGAGGAGTTCTTCGACTGCTCCCAGCAGCAGCCCGCCGACCCCTTGGCCGACAGGGTCAGCACGGGGTCTGGCCGCGGCCACCGGCTTATGGACGGCGTCAACATGATGGCCCGCCTCTCTCAGAGCATGCTGGACCTTCGGGACCCCCCGAGCCAGAAGGAGGACAGCGCCGCCCTCATCCGCCAGTCGCAGCAGCTGCGCAGGCAGGCCCATGGCTCACCGCACAGGCGCTTAGGACAGGTGAGACAGCGTCCCTTCACGAAAACTCTTTTTCCCAATTTGAAACAGTTTGTGAGAACATGCTTTCATCCCATTACCTCAAGGATCAACAATTTTAGTCCACCTTATGCACCCTACTGTTGACCCCCCTCCCCCCTTTTTTTTTTTTGACTGTTTTATACAAGTGAGCGGCTGTGCAGTGGAACTATTTGTGGGGATAGGGACTAGGCTGGCCCACAAATAGTAAAAATCTGTAGGTGCTATACCCCCCATTGAATGCGTACTATTAATTTTGTTTTTTTATCCTTTAAAAATATTCAAAAAGTGCTGATAATCAAACAATATGCTGGGGGAAATTGGCGAAGGGAAAAAAACATTCAGAAGCAAATCCTCGGGTGCCGAACCGTACGTATGCCGGGTCCACTGTAAACAACCCACTCTCCCCCCACGAAGACATGTACAGTAGATAGTGTGACATTATTGTTATTATGTGCCATAATGGTACTTAAGTCATTTTGTAACATTAAAAAAAAAAGACTCAACAGGATGCTTTAACTCTTTGAAAGGAGTGCAAAATTGTCTCAAAACAGTTAGTTAAGACAGAATAGGGATGCAGTTCAGGGAGAACGTAAAGGAGTTCTGTCGATGATATACATTGTGTGACAGTGAACAACAGTCCACTTCAGTTGTGTTTAATCACATGCCTGCCATACTGTTTGTCAAGAATGAATCCATCTTTTGAATACTCAAAACAGCACTTGTAAAGCCCAGCATTACGATATCCATCTGTCCTAACCTGGGTAGAGAGCGCGGCTGATCATGCCCGGGAGGATGATGAAGATGAAGGGCAGCATCTTGAGATACGCAGCCAAGATGGACGCTCCCTTCACATGGCTCATGTTTTTTGCAGAGAGGGATCGTTGGACGATCACCTGCAAATTCCAAGAAAAATGAACATGTCACCCACCCGTTCATTTTCTAGACCGATTATACAGTTTAACCCTTTCATGCACCCCGTAACTTGATAACATGATAAGCTGCCCACTCTAGTAACTGCTGTCCATGAAAGGGTTAAACATGAAAAAAAAACGATTCCCTCATAGGAATAGGTTCAGTCAATCAGATCTGTGAAACAGAAATCTTAACTATTCGTGCAATGTTATGAAAATGTAAAAACAATTGACAATTGTGACGCTAATGGACTAATAGGTTATTGAATTTTTCATTTTAAAGAAATCCCCAGGTTTCATTTTTTGTGGAATGAACAATACCTGTTATATTCATACTGATTAGAGTGAAGCATCGGAATAAGATTTAACTGACCAATGCAAATATAGTCCCAAGAAATAGTGAGCATAACTTGAAAGAGCTAAAAATGATAAATGTGAAGTGTGAAAACATTGTGGGAGCGAGTAATAGTCCAGGAGGTACTCCTGGTGAGAAGTATGCACTGGATGATGGCTGTTGCTAAGGTATTTTTTTTTTTTTAACACGTCTTTGTGCAGTTGTTCCAATTATCGAGATCGCCCGGTCGCGATGGGAGGCTGAGAGGCACAAAAGTCGTCATCGCCAAACCAGGGAGCTTCCACCGCCCGCAGCGAGCCACCGGCCCGGTGATCGGTGGACATCGTTACTGGCATGGACATACACTACAGCCGGACGCCACCCTCACGCGGGCCGAGACACGATCCAGCCGCTCGCCGCGCCGCCACAGCCCGGGCTACAGAAAGGGGGCCAACACTTCCTCGCCTTTGCCGGCCGCCAACCCGAGTGGGGGAATCGCACCTCTGTCTAAGCTGAACAATTTTAGACATTCGAAGGTACGAGGTGGAGCCTTGCAGAAGAAAGTGTCTCAGAACAACAACAGGGCCTCCAGGTAGAAATGATTGCCAGTGCAGGTACTCCAAGAATGCTTGTTGATGGTGACATGTTTTCAAAATGGGTGATGCTTACTGTCGCGTTGGAATCTTGTCTAAACTTTCAGGTTCAGACCACATGAAAAGGAATGTGGATTTACATATCGTGAATGAGGAATTGAATGTAAATAAATTACATTGCCATCGAGGTGAACTGTAAATGTATGCACGCATACATTTGACTGGCTATTACTTAACAATGCAGTCTCACAAATGACCTTCATTTTACTGGAGCCCCTTGACAAAGACTCATTCAGATTTTTGCACTGCAAATCTAGGACTTACAAAACTCAACGATGGAACGCTTCTGGCGTGAGCCAAGTCTACAAACTGGTTGGACACTGATGTGGGGGGGTTGGGGCGGGGTGTGTCTAGGCTTGTTGTTGACAACCTTTGCCTTGCCGAATTGTACAGATGTGCTTGGTGTTTATAAACATGATGTGGGACCAAAAGTGAATGCTGCCAATAAAAGATTGGATTCGGGATGAAATATTTGACTTTTGCCTTTTAGACATGAACTAGAAAGGTATTTCATGGATAGCTAAGATCTCAACCATGGCAGAAAAAAATCTTTACTGAGCTAACTCATTTCGTTGGTGATGTCGATGTTGTTTATTAAAGTGCATTTAGAGGTGCTTACTGTCAGACACAAGATTTTTTTTCGCCACGGGTCGATCTGCTGTTTGATGGGTTACGACCCAACATGACCTAAAAGCAAGCAGGACATAACGTCAAAACAAATGTGGACCAAAACTTAACGGATTATTCCTTGACCACGTCCACTGTTTTTTTGTTGTTAAGTTCCGTGTTTTTTTGCAAAACAATACTTGACTGATTTGTTGACTTGAGAGATGATTGTATTTTACAAAGTTTTTGCAAACTGCCAGAAACAAGCTTTCTTTCACCATGGTTCCTTCTGCCGGATCTGGTGGGTTACTGCCCTCACTTGGCCCCAATGTAAGTGGACTATCATTTTTAAAAAGAGGAACAATCCACACCGTAGCCATATTTGCACCAAAGTTTTACGGGTAAACCTGGCACCCAACACAAAGTTTGGCATAAGGTTTGCATAATCTTGATCACCAAACAATACTTGAACTAATTGAGCATTCATTTGACAGCCAAGGCCAAACAAGCTCCATCCACTGGATTTGTTGGTTCTCCAGTTAACCCTAATTAATACATTCAGAGGTTCTGATGGTGGAGGGGAAAAAAATTCTTCATCTTAGCCTTGTATCAAAATGAAAATTCAGACTCAGAATAGCTGTACTTATACCACAAGGTGCAACGAAATGGAACAGACAAAACCTGTCCAAGAGACGGAGAATAATAATGACCACCAGGGAGATACAGAACGGGAGTCCACCAGATCACTTTTTACAGCACAACATTTTTGCATATGAAAAGAAAAACATAAGGAGGGTGGGGGTAACCCTAGACTAGGCTACTGCAAGGTGAGCTCAGTGTGGAAATTCAATGGGTTCATGTTTCAATACAACGGATGCATGTATGTAGATCTACCTGATCGGTGCACCAGTACCAGGTGGCCAGGATGGTGAGCCCGAGCGTCATGCCAGGCCAAGGCAAGTCTCCCGTGACAGCGTCTCGGAACAGATGCATGGCGTCTTGTCGAGGCAGGTGGCAGGTACTGTTGGGTATGATCTTGCTCGGCACTGCCATGCTGTACACTTTCTCCAGGTTACTGTAGCCGCCGATCTTGTTGAAAGCTGAGAACGACGACCACGCTTTGAGCACGCAAGTATTACTGCATTGCCGGGTGGAAATGAATTCACATACCCGTAATTGTGAGAATAATTGCCCCTACAATCATCACCAGTGTTTGTAGCGTGTCGGTGTAGATGACAGCTGCAAGACCACCTGTGAGAAAGTCAGTGTGAGGCTTCATTGCCGCCATTTTGGTCAGGGCAACACTGCTGAACAAACAAAGCTAAACCTAGCTAGCTGGATGTTATCTTTAGTACAACCTTATTTATTTTTGGTACTTTAATTGTAGCTCATTGTTTATGTTGTTAGGTAGGGGTTAGCTGATATTGTTTCTAGCAAGCTAACTGTTGTGTCATGTGTGTGTCAATATTAAAGCCAATGTGCTACTGACAAGCTAAGTGACTGGATGCCCATGAGCTATATACAGTAACTACTATTTGGGCAAGAGGGAGGAGCAAAGAGAGGATTTACGTTTTTGTATTTGTCACATAAATCCATATAAACACGTATTGGTATTAAAAAAGTACCAATGTCCATTTTCATACATTTAGTAATCACTATACGAGAGTGGTTTACTCCAGAAAAAATACATACTCTAACGTGTATGTTGACATTGTACTGTATCAAAATGGGCTGTCTTTTGTCAGAAATTCGTAGGATCACAATCTATCTCTTTTTAAAAATCCAATCCAAGCCTCTTTTGCAGTAGCTGAATATTGAAATAACCTTGATAAGATGCGATGGTTCAGTGAGAGACCTTTCCAAAAAGCATTATAAATTGCGTTAAAAATGAACAAAACGGTGAGATGGTCTGGAGCTCAGCACCACTGATCCTCTGATCATAGAATTGTGGTTGTTGTTGTGCCAAATTATCAAAACACATATTGACGATAACACAAAACAAAAAGTGATGGTCTGGAGCTCAGCACCACTGATCCTCTGATCTTAGAACTGTGGTTGTTGTTGTGCCAGATTATCAAAACACATATTGACATAACACAAAACAAAAAGCATTTTACCTTTCACTTTTTGTAGTTAAGTACATAGTGTATTTCAGAATCTGTACTTTTTCATTTTTACTTCATTTATAGGGGTTAAATCAGTATATCTACTTTTACGATTTTTTTTTGTTCCATGCTTCTACTCAAGTACTGAGTGTAATGACTTTTGCCACCGCTCTACCTAATGAAGTGTCACAGCACACTTTCATTATACCCAAGTATAATTTACAATCATCTGTAAAAAGCATCCATCTTTACTTAAGTGTGTTGACAAGCCAGTCTTGCCTGGAGCAACTTGGCTCCTGTTAGAGCAAAGTACCTAATGACCATCAGTCAATGTAGCGTCTGCGTGTGTCTGTGAATCGAATGTAGTCCTGTTTGCGTACCGGCGATAGTGTAGAGCGCCGTGACTACCAGCATGAGAACGGTGGACAAGTAGAGGTTCCATCCCAGACACACTTGCACGAACAGGGCTCCCGAGTAGAGGTCAGTCTGGTGCAGGGAATGAACAAGCGTCAACATTTGTGTATTGCCAACTGGGTCATCAGGTGTCTTTGTGTTCGTCATACTGATATCTTTGTGAAGACTGACAGAAGCAGTGAGAGGACAGCCAGGTAGGTTCGAATCCTCTCGCCTCCGAAACGCCGGCCCAGGTACTCGGGCATTGTCACAATCTTAACAAAGACACTTTTTTTGGTCAACTGTGTGTGACATTCTGATCAAGAGAAATGTGTCGTTCGCACTTCCCTGTGTTCTGAAAATAATTATGACCCATTAGAGAAGAGTAAGATGTCATTTGTGATGCCGGAAGACGGATGAGTTGTGCGGTGGAGTTGTGTGACACCCAGCTGGGGAATTTTCAAGGCGGGGAATGCTTGCAAGGACAGTGCCCCTTTTGGCATGCCAAAATTCCTGCTGAACCAGCCGTGACAAGCAGAAACTGCAGTGCAGGTGTGCGTGTGTGTGTGTGTGTGTGTGTGTGTGTGTGTGCGTGTGTGTGTGTGTGTGCGTGCGTGCGTGCGTGTGTATGCAGGCAAACCCCTGAGGAGATGTAGACAGGAACGAACACCCAGGCCAGAGCCAGCAACACATAAGTGGCCTGAAAGAAAGGGTGAGGCAGAGCGGAGAGGTTCCATCAGATGAGTGCCAACACTAGGAGGACAATCTCGAGTGGTCAAACATAGAGACATCCTACCGGAAGACTCTTTTCGCAGGTTTAGACGAGAAGTAGACAGCATCTCGACTATATGTTTTAAAAAATAAATAAATCCTTGCCTTTGCTCATTTTAAGAAGTAGGAGGAGACCAGCAGAAGAGAAACAGGGAATGCTGCATCCTTTACTCAGAGATTGGCGGTGACATGAAGAATTTGAGAGCTAGACTTACATCAAGGCCATTTTGAGGTATATTTGAGGCTGAGCAGGGAGCAGTGTCTTCTTCAACATGTCACTGGATATCAACTCTCATGTGTTCCAAAGCTTAGGTCACTGCGTTTATTAAGGTTTCCTCTAATGTCCTCAGGCCAAAATTACAGCCTGTATATCCTTTATTTATACAAATTAGATATGATATATGTAAATACAAACAAAGCCTAAATATCAGTTACAGTATTGTCAACTTTGGTGTGCTGCTTCAGTTGTGCAATTCTTGGCCTCCAGGGGCAGTGTGGTGCAAACATGCAATTAACACATAAGATGAAAAAACACAAAGAAGATTGTCAAGCCGTCCAAATGATCTGATATAATAAATTTTGTCTGGAGTCAAAAGAATATAGTTAATGACTGTGTATTGTTACATGATCTTCCTGTAAAATTTGCTGCGCCATTTCTGTTTGTATATTTTTTATTGAAAGATTTCCTGAATACTGCGACATAGATGGTAAATTGTTTGTGATTCAGTGGTTGCTTAGCATTTGAAGATATAAGAAATAGTGATGGAAGTCACGGTCAAAGGAAGTTACAAAAAATAAATAAAAAATACAAATAATCTATATGTATTGTAAATTTGATTTATATTACGACTGAAATGTGTCGACTTGTGTGAATTAGATTGTTTTGTTTTAGAGCACAAATTATTTTTCCAGTCACCCATGTGTGTTTTAAAGATCAAAATTCTGGGTTGTGTTTTCTTAAATATCAACAGCTTTGGTGGGCGCATGGACGAGCATGTCCACTCACATTCCATTCAAAGCCTGCGACAGCGATGCCCCCAGCAGCTCCCGTCCCGGCCAGACCGATAAACAGACCCGAGCCCTCTGAACTGGCAAACAGGGAAGCCCCAATCTGGGAAATTTGACATTTGAACCAGTTAATGATTGTAGTTCATTACAAGACACTTTTATAATGAAATAAGAGATTATAATTAAATATAGAGTCATTAAAAATATATTGGTTCACCTGTCATTATAATGAGAAGAGACCTGCAGGCTCTTTCTGTTTCAGTGACCATTATCATGATATTTTAAAAAAATGGCAGAGCCGTGGAGTATAACTCGAACCACAGAGCCTTGTAGTTTATGACAGGAGTTTTAAAAAAAAAAAGAACATTTGTGGAATACTGTTTTAAAATTTCTTGTGCACTTTATTTCTAAAAATGCTTTTTGTAATGTACAACTGTACTTTTCTCCCTATAACATTTTTTTTTTACTTTGAGGACTCACATGGTTTTACTGTCTCAAAGGAAGGCATGCACCATCCATTTTGATTTAAATGGCCAAATATGCTATCCTCTCTCTAAACGTTGCTACGCCAGCATCACATCACACCAACACAGCAGCAAAAAGCAAAGAAGTGTCTCAAACACACTTGCTGTGGTTCACTATGAAATCTTTAAAGCAGAGCGGTAAATTTAAAAACATAATAACATTACAGAAACATTAGTGCACGTGATGCAATGGAGAACTCACCGGCCACCAGGCCATGTCTCGTCCTGCCAGGAAGTAGCCACTCAATGTGTTTCTGCTCACCCGACATGAAGACTGACGATGCACAGACAAGTGACAGGGTATAAAATTGAACATACACCTAAATGCATCTGTGCAACTTACCCAGATCCCCACAGCCAGGTTGAGAAGGAAGTAGGTTACTATGACGATGATGTCAGAGAAGCTGAAGGATTGAGACAGCGCGTAAAACTTGGTGGTGGAATTGGACATCCTTGCACACTTGGAGAATATCTCTTCATGTATTTATCCTCACATGTATTTTTTTTTCAACCTCAACCAATCTCTATTCCCATTTAAAATCTCACACCCTTTTTTTGTGAGCCCCAAAAGAAGGCATCACAGTCGCACACATTCACCCCACTCCTTCTTTGCCGAGCCGTCGACATCAAAGTTAGGCAGAAATTGGAGGTGTGTGAGCATGTGTGTGTGTCCGTGTATAGTGAATGTGTAAAGAGGACTGCCCCCCCACATGAAGCATCACCTTAATGTTGTGCACACACACACACACACACACACACACACACACACACACACACACACACACACATACGCACACACACACATACGCACACGCACACACACAGACAGGCCTTGCTAGGGGACAGTGGAGTGTATGTGTGGGTGAGCTGTGGAGTGCAGCAGATGCCCATGTGGACCGTAGCCGACACACAAACACACGCTGATACACACACACTGATAGTCAATCATTGGCTGTGTGACAAGTGTATAATCATTAGTGTCTAAATACACAAACATGTGCTGTTAATTATCAAGTGCAGTCGGTCACTGTGTGTGTGTGTGTGTGTGTGTGTGTGTGAGGTTTTTTTTTTTTTCAAAGTGATGATTTTGGAGATACAAGAATTGCTCCCGACGCTAGCGATATACATATACAGTATACTAGGGGTGCAACAATATGTATATCTGTGTCGAATCGTACAAGATAGTCTTGGTACACACTGGATCAAACAATACACTTTTTTCCTCCTTACATCTTAAGTCTAACCATGAATTCAAATCCAAATGGTTTTCAACAAGGTGTGCATCATAAGGAACATTGATGCAAGAGAGTTTGACTTTACATCCACATCTATGCTTCCTGGTGTGAATTTAACTTAGCCTCTCACACACACAAAAACCTCTGGCCGGCCTGTTTTTTTCCAAACCGAGGAGCAGATGGCGGTGATGGGGCGACCTGACGCCACACACATCATCATCATTAATCTCATTTACACACACATGTATGCACGTCTCGGCGCATGTCACTGAAAGTGTAGAAAGTGATGATGAGATGATAGGTTCCCCTGACAGGACAAAGTTTAATCTGAGAAAATGTTGGTAGTAACATTAGTATTGTTTTTAACCACAACGTTATTGATTACCTGGTAACACATTTCTTGGTTGATAATATCCCCAACCCAATGGGTATGAAGAACCATTGGCATGGGACCTTTTGGACCCAGCGCTGGTCGAACTATTTTATCCATTTTGGGTTACTATTAGTATTCACCCCGCATTTTTTAAGAGTGACTCTGAAAACTCCTGATTCTTTCCCTGTGGGGTCATTCACATTTAAAGAATGGGTTCAATAGTACCCTGCTTGAGTTGCTTGCTATCTTGCCATTTGTGAAGGTTTGCAATTTTCCTTCAAAGGGTTTGAATACATTTTAAGAAAAGAAAGATAAGAAAACATTTATTTGTCGCACAATGGAGAAATTCACAATTTACAGCAGCAAAATAGAGTATAGATTTTAGTGAGCTCTATGCCAAGCATCTAGTTTGTTGTTCCCAACCAACTACTTGGTGTCTATTTCGTGAAATTTTGCTTGATTCATTTGGTATGACTGTACATTAAAAGATAATGGAGATTAAATGCAACGCTCCACAAAATTGATAGACTTCTGTGTTGAGAACAGCGCCCTCTGTCTGCCAAAAAGTCTACAGTAAAGGATGCAAAAGCTGTCTGTAGTAAACGTTTAGTTTTGTGATTCGTTGGCTTCGATATGCTGGTAAATGGACAAACAATTGGAGAATGAAGGAAACCTTCCCCCATGTGCCCTGAATAATGTTATATTTCAGTTTTTCTGCATTGCACGATAACCCGGAAAAGAAAATTTGAGTCAACCAATCACTGGGCTGATAGCTTTACCTACCCGGAAAGGACTTAAAAATGCCGGGAAAATGGCATTTCGTCAAAACTGATGTTTATGTCGTTGAACATTGAATTAAAAAAAGTTAAACAGATATTTCCTGCGCTTTGAAGTGAAGCAGCCATGGATGAATATGACGAAATGTTTGAGATAGAGGACAACTTCGAGGAGCAATTCGCCGACGAACTGGATGCGCTGGCTCAGTTGGAAAGTGAGGACATATATTGTACAAGGGTCTTGTGCTGTCAAATAGTCCTGTAGACTGTTTTTGAAATTTAAAAAGTATTCATATCAATGCCATTTGTTGTTCCCGTTTCGTGTATTGTAATTGTGCACAAACTTACGCTTTTTCATGTTGTTCCATTGTCACCTGCTTTTTCGTCGGTTTGCTTTTGTAGCGTTTGCTATTTTTTTCGACCTTTTTCTTGAGCGTTTTAACATTACACAATACGGTCCCGAAGTGTTTGGACATTGACAGAATATGGTGTTCATCAATTGGGAAATACAACGGAATACTTAGTAATTACCTAACTTGTTAGTTAGCTTCATGCAAAGAGCCTTGTTATTATAATTGTTTATTGTATTTTTAGATGAATCCTCCAAGCCTACGAAGCGTCAGAGACGGAATTCAAATAATGACGCCTCCTACATTGATTACCAGCAGGTGTCTGATCAGCAAATCAGTGAGTATGCATTACACATAGACTGTTCAATACTGTTTTGTAGTTGGTACATTTGCACCCTGATCATCCTCTTTTTCAAGTATTTATTTCTTTTTATTTTCTTCACAAGCTCCAACCGCAAAGCGTCACAAACAGGACACAGGTGTGGTGAAGCGACTATTCAACTCCGTTCAGTGTGATGACATCACACCGCCGTCATCTCCAGAATACTATGAACCATCTCACACAGTGAGGTAGGGGAGCTGGCCAGGAAATGTATTGTTATGATGTATTCTTATAATATTAATGTATTCTAAAAAATATATAAATCCAAAAAATCAATTGTATCCATCTATCCATTTTCTATAGAAGTTTTTATCCTCATTAGGGGCACTGGTGAACTGGAGCTAAACTCAGCTCGCTGTGTGCGAGAGGCGAGTTACACCCTGGACTGGTTGCCAGCTGATCGCAGGTCACTTAAAGACAACCAACCATTCACATGTTCAATTTAGAGTCTTCAATTAACTTGCGCATCCGACGAAAGCAGACACAAGAGCATGGGAGAAACATACAAACTCCACACAGCAGGGCCTGATTCGAATGGCTAACCTCAGAACTGTGAGGCAATATGTGCTAGCCATGAGGATACCATGCGACTTTAAAAAATAGCAATCCATTAATCATCTTTGTAACCACAAAAAATCAGCACCAGCATTAAATGTGCTAGCTGACCAATGCCAGTTTTCAGTTTCAAATGTGTTAAATTATAGATTTTTGTAATTCTATTTTACTAGCATCGATAACTAAGTGACGGTAAAAAGTCATCAGATCATCTGACGACTGTTCTGTAAAACTGTCCTGGAACATACAGTATAAAACACCTTCTTTTGCTTTCTAGGTCTTCCTCGGCTCCTGCTCTCAATATCAGTGGATTTGAAACAATCCCAGAGTCTCCTCGGCGACCTGCTGCCGTGGCAATGCAGTCGCATGCGCTGAGAAGACCCCCACTAGAAGGCGACTACGTCACTGTCACCGACTCTTCTGGATGTCGCGTCTATCTCCGCCAGAAGGACACCGAAGCAGAGGAGGTGGACTGAAGCATTATGAATTAAGTGCAACGCCTTAATCGTAGGTAATGAATTCAGTCTTCGTAAATAAGGTCTTTTGTGTTTAGGTGAAAAACTGCAGAATGGTACCCAACCCTCAGGGTTCATTGGGGCTGCTAGCTGTTCCAATTGATGTGCTGAGAGATCAAGAGGCAGAGCGAGTAAGTAGATTACCCCATGATTGTGACAGATATGGAAGTAAAGACACTTGTCTCAAGAAAATAAACAAAAAAGTTGAAGTATGGGTTCAAATCCTTGACTGAAGGCAAAGTAAAACGAGACAGATTCCGATATAACAACTTGACACAATTGGGGATGGAAAAACTTCTCTGTGCACAAAAACAACGTTCCCTCTTTTATTAATTTACATAGTGCTCATATTGATTAAAAAAAAAAATTACAGGTGACATGACTGGATGAATAAACATCGACCGTCTAAAAATCTATATGTCAATGAATTTTTCTTTTTAAACTGCAGCGTCACCAGCAGTTAGTAGAGCAGACACAGCACCTCAGAGAGCTCCTGGCCAGGTACTTAATCACACTGCTTTTTTTTTTTTTCTTTCTTCACAAGCTTGGATTCCCTGCATTGAAATTGAATGCTGCATTGTTTCATATTCCAGCAGCGTAAATGATGTCTTGGTTGAGCCTGAAATTAGAGAGGAGGAAGAGAAAGAAGAGGAGGGGGATTTGGGAGACTCTGAGGGTCAAAGCTATCGACTCTGGGTGGATAGATTTTCTCCCCGGCACTACACCGAGCTGCTCAGTGATGATGTACGGTGTGGTCTTGTCCATACTCTTACACCTACACGCTGTACATCATTGTAGCCTCTTGGACTATCAATGACAATTCGTATTTGTTTTTTTAGTTTACCAACCGTTGTCTGCTGAAATGGCTGAAGCTGTGGGACACTGTGGTTTTCGGAAAAGAGAAGGTGTCTCGTCCGGCGCGGCCCGACAGACAAGCCCGCGTGCAAACCTCATTCAAACCCAATCAAGCCAATCAGAATCAAGCCAATCAGAATCCAAATCGCTTCAAGAGCAAGATGGAGATGACTGAGGAGATACTGGAGGCTGAACTGGACATGTACAAACGGCCCAAATTTAAGGTAAGGAGGAAACAGGATTAAAAAAACAAAACATGAACAGATGTTTCTGGCATCCCCATTGAAATGCATGAAGAAAAGGGAATTACAGCACCCTTTATATCTACTTGTCACACGCTTGTTGAAATCAAAGCATTTTTGATGAGGGAGGGAGTAGTTCGGTTTGAATGCAAATGGCTTTTGGTGCAAGGACGCAAGTGACAACCTGGCGATTTTCTTCCCAAAACAGCAGTGTGCCAGAAAAATCGAGCATTTATTTGTGGTGCTATTGGCGGTTTCCGAAGACCCCAAGACTCCTTCCTTTCTCCATACTCCAAATTAATAACACTTGAGCAAACATACCGGTGGCTTACACAAAATTCAAACCGAAAACAAACAGGTTTTGCTCCAAAAAAACTTCAGC